GCTGGAATATTTATAGTGTAATATCCTTTTGAGTGGATATTGGTATAAATAATTTGGATCAACAATAGCTATTAAAAAATATTTTTAGAATGTAGAAAATTCATATAATTATAGATAATAATTTATTTACATGATACAGTATACATAATATGTATCATATTATGATATATAGTCTCTAAGGTAGAGGATTATATAGGTACTAGGGTAATCACATTTTAAAAGTATAGATCAAACCTTAATAATAATTAATAACTATACACAGCAAAAATATTTTAGTTTCTGAGAACGAGGAAGTAATTGGTTTCATCATTATATATTAGTATTTTTTTTTTTTGTCTAATTTCTATGTACATGATTTCTACAAGAACTAATTTATTTCTTAATTTAAAGTTTTCATATCAAAAAACTGACGAAAAGTAATAAAAAAAACAACAACGTTTTCATATAAATATGCATATGGAACCTTTCAATACAAATACTACCATACGATGGTTTTGGGTTTCAATTGAAATTCAAGTTGTTAAAACGTTTATTGTGCTTCTCAAGTTTCAAATAAAACAAATAACACTTTCAATGTTCGATAATTAAATTGAAAAGTATATAGAAATAATAAATGTTAGTAAAAATACGTTAATCGTCTGTACCATAATTGTATGTAGTTATAATTACAGAGCTCATGGTATTTTTAACATTTATATTCATTTTATAATAATAAAATAAAATAATATAATACGTTATATAGTGGCATACATTTAAATTGATACATTTTTTTTATTAAAAAAAAAACTAAAGAAAATGTTATTAATACCAATGAATACTGATCAAAATCATTAAATAATTATTGTACAATTATACTAGAAACCTTACAGTATAAAATTATTAAGTATAGATAAAATATAAATATAAAAGTTAATTTAACAGTGATAACGTTGAACTTTACATTAATTAATTACTAAAAAATGTAATTTTAATTTATTATTTTATAAAATATTTATAAACGTTGTTAGAAATAACATAAGTATTACAAACGTAAAATTAAATAATAAATACAGTATACCCATAAGGTGGTGTGATGTGTAGCATAATATCACATTTTATCGGTATAACTGATGAGAATTCTTAAATATTATACAATTCCAATGAATGTCAGTTACAACGATTTCCGTTTATATAATTTTGTAAATTTTTCAAAACCAGAGGTCAGATTTATAATATAAAAAGCGAGTGTTATAAAAAAAAAAAAAAATAAAAATAACATGCACTATAATTAATATTATATGATCAGAAATATTAAACATTATTAATAATGGTAACTAGAAATGGTTTGAAAACAATTATTTCTGCATTTACGCCTACCTTTGCGCGTACGCGATTATTCAGCAGTAAACAAGAAAAAATTAGAATGTCAGTGTCAAATTGTGAATGCTATAAATGCAAGTAGGTATATTTAATATACACAGCGGCAGGTGTGTCTTATGTATTGTAATCAGAAAATACAATGTCGTGTTATCAAATGGTAATGAAAAGTAAAAGTGATTGTAAAAATATAATAAAATAATTGTTATTACTTGTCGCAAATGCATTATGATAGGTAAATATAAATTGCAGTGTTCTATAAAATGTGCAGTTGAATACCTATAATTTATAACTCATGTATTTATTGATCCAAACATGTAATTATGCCTTGAGGTATTATTATGAAGCCATTTTTAGTATTAATTACAATTTACTTACTATGAAAATATTATGATTATTATTATACTTAATGGGCAAGCAAATAAAATAAAACCCCATGTTTTATGATCTTTTTTTAATTTCGCAGTAATTTAAGATTTAATACTATGTGCTATTAAACCATTAAAATAGTGTACTCAGAGTTGTATCTAAGTATATGATATGAGATTTTTGATCATGTTATCTGAAAAATAAACACTAATTTATAAAATATTTTAAATTAAAAAATTGTTAGAATTTACTGAAGGTACTGGTTTAATAGTTTATCTTCGGTCTCTACAGAACATTTACTAATATTTTATGATGATTTCAAGCAATAAGAAGAAACCATTTTCGTCAGAATTCAATTATTATACATTTACCACGCATAAATAAAATAAAAATATATCTGTAAAACTTAAACTTCTAGATGTATATCTAGAAAAATTATTAATGTTTCAAAATACTGGTTTTAAACTGTAATAATTATTATGTGCTTATTATTATTAGTGCTTTAAAGCACTAGGTATAAGTTGATTTTTAATCATGAAATTTAACTAAATATAATATAGTATAACATTTGTAACATAAAAGATTAAATTAAAATTTTAAATGGGTGTTGATGAGATAAGAAAACAATTTTTTATTAAAATATTTTTTATCAAGTTTTTTATTATAACTTAATTAATTTCACGTAAAAAACATTGGACATATGAATACCCCAAGATCAAGTTAACGACTAAAACAAATAAAACTATCATATTTTCCTTTAATTGTAAATTATTATGGATTGCAAATTAGTATTATTTTTCATCAACGAGCAATATTTTTTATATTACTTTGGGTCAATATAAACCAACTGTAAACAATAAGAAAAAAAAATACAGAATAAATTGTTATGTATCAATTATAGGCATGCACAGTAGATCCCCTCTCGTTCACCTTTGGCTAGTCCACCACTTCGGTTGATCCGACCATAGTATTATCGATATGATTATGGATTTTCCAATTAATAGTATGTAGATACTAGTAGATATATTTATAAAATGAATTGCCCGTTTACTATTTATCTATTTTTTATTTATTTTATTGTTTAATTATTTATTTAATTTAATATATGTATGTAATTAAAAAAAAAATATAATTTAAAATAATTTAATAAATAAATTTGGTAACATTTTGTCTTCAAATCTTTCTTTATATTCTGATAATCCGACCTTTTTCGCGTTCCAACTACACCCCCAGTCCGAAAGGTGGCGGATTAGAGGGGTTCTACTGTAATCGTTTTTATTGACATTTTTATCGTTTCGAAAATAATAATGAATTGCACTGTACAAATTTATGATCGATAAAATACGAAATAAAATTTTAATTACATAATTACGGATGTTGTATCACCAAGATAATTAAGGTTTGGATTAGTTACACGTAATAAAAATGTTACGTTATAGCATTTTCTCAACATTTTTTAATGCAAAAATCACCATATAAAAGCCCTTTAAGTATATAATAATATGTCAATTTAATAGCTTCATATTTACGTTTGAATAAACAACAAATGTTATATTCTGATACTTTAAGAATATTAAAGCTAAATTACAGTCGATAATTATGAATGTCATCATTTTAAAGAAGGAAAATTTTGTGAACAACAGTCGCCCAGTTCTCTGAATCTTCTAAGTATTTTCAGTATTCTGAATATTTTACTTTGTTAAAATCTACGGACGCCTGCGATGGCAATGGGAAGCGTCAATAAGCTAAACGACAGAGCCGCAACATTTTGTCTTCTACACTACAGTTGGGCCTACATATTTTCTAGGTGGAATAAATCTCATCCGTAGGTGAAATTAAAAATAACAATAGAAAAAAAAAACGAAAAGGAGTGTACAACACTATATTCTGTGATTTTTTCTGGGCAAGTGATATGCAATTTTTGTTATAGCAAAGAGGAGCCATCCTTATTCCGTATACCCAATTCACGATTCAAATCGAAATTATTAAAAAAAAAAAAAAAACACACACATTATTTGTCCAACGCGGCCATTTCCTTAGTATAAAACGCATTATAATGAACCATTATGTTAAAAATTTTTGAAAATACCAATAACAAACCGATTGAACGAACATGGTCTTAACCAAACGCCATTATTGGAACATAATTACTGTAAGAAGTAATATAAATCGAACGTGTCGCTTTAAAAAGTGTCGATTCACGAGAGCGATGTTGACGGTGCACCAATGCTTATGTTCACACCCATGTGCGGTAACATACGACGGTTGACCGAACTTGACGGCTCGTCCGTTGAATCTGTTCGGGAAAATAAATCGTATTGAATAAAACCAATTCAAGTGCCGGCGACAAAAACGTCACAGCTAACGTGGGGGCATATGTTTATTGGGTCGACGGCATTTTTTGTAAACTCAAACCTGAAATTTTAGGAAATGGAAAATGTCGATTGCCCGAAAATCCGGCACGATCATTTTTATTACACAATTAACAAATTATTTAGCAAATTGATTCATTTTCTAATCAGAACTTTAAAACGATGTCGGAAAATAAATTTCACACCGCCACTGTGGACAACCACAGTTGTTTTTCAAAAGTTGATCCATACCTTACTAAGTAGGTAATCTTAAGTAGGAAACAAAATGGCGATGTACGAATCATAAATGTAAAACGTTTTTAAAAACTTCCGGGACGAATGATATTATGACGGAGAAAAATGATTTTCATCACCACGATCCTATCGGCGATCGAATACCTTAAATACAACGTGTGGCGAAACTTTAGAAGATAATTGCACTGGACCAATTAATTATGTGTTTAGCGGTGCGATAGACAATGTACCCGACGTGTGAAATCGTCGAGCGAACAATATTCTCGCGGTTTGCCCGGGGTAATGCCGAACGGTTCTCAAAAATATTGCAAGGCGATTATTAACAAGACGAGAAGATCTGGACATATTTCATCTTATTTCGTTATTTTTACATACGAGCCGAGTTGCTATTATTTTTGATGAGACCCATTCAACCGAAACCATATAGTTTTTTTTTTTTTTATTCAGATTTAGTAGTGATTTGTAATAAACATTAATCGAAACAAATACAGCGCATTTGTGTAACGTTTACGTTGACACTCAATATTTGTTAACCAACGAATACAAAACCCGTTGAGCCGCGTACAGCACCCCCCTGTGACTTCCTTGAACCGGTCCTGACCGGCAGACCTTTTGAACGGTCTTACGGTCGGCCGTCCAACAGTTCGCCGGGTTCGAAACTTCACGTACCTTCTGCTGCTGCGGCGTTCACTGCACGCGAAGTGCTGCTGGTGCGCCGGAACGGGGACGGCGTATGGGCGCGGGCAGTAGATGAACGTAAACTTGGCGCGGCGGAAACGGGTGCGTGTCGTTATCGGCCGGATGGACACGGTACGAGTAGTTGGCGAGCGCGGAAATACGCGCGTACGGTCATGTCGGACGGACGACTGGAGACCGCGCGGCGACGGCGACCGCGGTTAGGCCGAGTGCCGGCGTCGTCGCCTCCCACCTGTTGCGGCGGTTCGCTTTCGATCGGGCCGCGAAACGAAAGGGAATTTCATCATTCGAATATCGTTTGTTCCGAGACGTCCGTCCGTACCGGGCTCCAAAAAAAAAAAAAACGTGCGCGGTCCGAACAGCGAAGCGCGCAAGGCACGATATCGTGTACCCGTCACGGATTTCGAGAGCGCGCGATTCCGTCGCCAACAGTCGCAACGGCTTGCGCGCACGTGGAATCACTAACAAAAAAGTAGATACGTCGCGTTTCGGCGATGGATTCCACAATCGATATTCTCGGGAAACGTAACAGGCTGCTCTTGGACCGCGCGCGTTCGTTAAACGTACTACGACAACAAGAGCGCGGGTTGACACCCGGGAAAAACGACATCGAGGCGAGGTTTGAAAACGGAATTCTAGCCAATCCGTTTTCCGGCGGTTTTCGTTCGTTTGTCAATTTTTTTTTTATGGCTTTTTTCTCCCGCGGAGCGTTTCGTTCGATTTTTGTGCGCGCACGAGACACGCATACGTTTTCAAAAGAACCAAATGACCAGGAACAAAACAATATCGTGTGTCGTAATATGGTGTTTGACGACCTTCGCATTACAACCGCCCACTGTTTTGCAGGTGAAAACAATAATTCATTTCAATAACAATAACTGAAACGCATTTTTATACGCTCGCTCAAAATGGACTGCTGCTGCAGTATTCGTCGTCTATCATCGTTTCGGCAGTCTGTCGAAACACGACGAGAACAACGACATTGTTTTTTTTAAATCGTATCCGTTTTGTTGGACACGTTATTAGTAGACAATATATTGATTTTCCGCGGGGAAAATATTCGCACAATATATGAAACCGAAATCAAATCAAAAGGAGTTGATTTTCATTAAGGTAATTTTATTGCGGTTAAAACGTATATTTTTTAAGGCATTTCGGTCGTTCATAGGTTGATTTTCTGACTATTTTCATGGCATTAAGATTCGAGCACTGGGCTCGCACCGATCACCTGACGACGGACATTATCCCTGCAATCAGTATTCATATGCGACGTGTACACAAAACAATTGGATACTACGTTTAAATTAAAAGCTATAGCACAGAAATAACTTTATTTAACATATACTATTAATTCAATAAATGTAAAGGCATTATATAATATATACAATATGGGTTGGAAAATGTTAAATTTTATTTAAAAAAAATGGTCAGATATAAAAAGATGAAAAAATAAAATATTATGATATACGATACCTTAGTTATGTAAATTGTAACTATGTGTATAATTGGTTGATATTTGTTAACTGATCCAACAAAAAATTTAAAATTGTGTAGTACTAGTATTTTGTTTCCACGTTTACTTTCGATAACTTAAGCCATCGTAAAATTATAAATTTTAAAATTTACGTTTTATTTTAACACACACGCAGTTGTAATGCACTATTTAAACTGTGCCATCTTTTCACTTGTTCATAAAGTATTTGATTATTTAGATATTATAATGGTTGATGGACATAAAAGTACATACATAAGTACGATTACGGTTTAATATACAGTTAAATACAATAAATGTACAATATACATTGATTATATTGTGTGTATATATTTTACATCAATCCGAAAAACTCATGAAAAGTATAGGTATTTTATCTTATTTGAAACGGATATTGGTGGAAAAGGGAAAAGTCTACTTTTGATTGAAACGTGTTACGCCCCTCTTATTAAATTTCCGACAAGGCGGCTCATTTTATCAAAGTGCGGATTAACGGGGGAGACGTCAAACCAGTCAAAAAAATGTAATGATTTGTGCTTTGTACATATGTATCCACATAATACACGTCTCATTTTTCTAATTTACACCGTGTCAATGCTTTATAAAATACGTGTTTATATTTTGATGTTGTGCCGACTTTAGAATATCTAAGCTTTAGACTACGGCAAATTTACAAGTAGCCCCCCCCCCCAAAAAAAAAAAAAATATACCATTGCGTGTGACCCTACTATATTTTACATCTATACAATAAATCTAGTGAGGTAACATGGTTACATGTACTCGTATATAAATATACATTTATAATTCAATTTATGTTTTTAACTTAAATGTACTACAAGCATGTCACGATTCCACGTATAGAGTATAAATGTAATATAATGAATTGATAAGTACATGTGTACATACATGTACGAACATGATCGAAGAATGATATGATATAAATATATATACCATATAAGCAGAGTTATTTGTGATAAAATTTATAGCACAAACGTTTTTTTACGCAAATAGATCATCTAGAACTATAAATTAACCCTGGAATTATGCCTCCAAATACGTCATCATTAATAGTCTCGTATTTGCACTCGAAATCATTATTTAGCAATGTCATGAACTCGCGCCCTACAACTAGTGGAAATCTCTATCTCCATTATCGTTATCAGAGTAAATACGTTAACCTTCAGCATAGTAATCATACTACAATATCGTAGGACTTATTTAGTAACTTTCCTGACTATATCCTTGTTAATATAATGACTCAACTGATTTTATAGGAAGTCTTTTTTCAAAAGCAATACATTTCAGAACATCGTATTTTAAATTGTGTTTAAAAAATATTAAAATAATATAAATAATATGCTGTGTTAAATGTGTATGTAAATTTATTTCCGAATGCTCTAATACAGTGGTTCTCAACCAGTGTGCCGCGGCACAATACTGTGCCGCGAGATCGACTAGGTGTGCCGTGAAAAATGTCTGATATTTGAAAATACCGATTGATGAAACTATGACAGTTAAATGTCAATTAATTGTGCAGATAAGACGATACATATGTAGGTAGACTGTATGGTTTTAACCCAGCTGGATATCTTAGTGTTTAGCCAAAGTTTTTGTTGTTGTCAAGTGGATGAGTGTACCGCGAAAACTTGTGATGTATAATGGTGTGCCGTGAACAAAAAAAGGTTGAGGACCACTGCTCTAATATAACGTTTTGTCTACATACTATACGTCCTATTATAATATTATTAAATCTTATTATAAACAATTGTGTAATAAATAAATAAAAAAAATCTAAATTATGTATATTACTGTAAAATAACTCGTATACACTAAAAGTTATAAACTTGAAATCTAGCTTGTTATACTAAAAATTGGTTTGTTATAAATAGAGCAGAGGACTTGTAGCTCTAAATAAGCACTAAATATGCAAGTCTTAATGCACTTAAAAACTAAACTATATGCATTATAAATATGCTCTTATATTTTTTTTTAAAGCGATTTATTTAAAAAAGATTTAAATCATTTAAATGTTGCGATGCATTAAATTGTTTTTCACATCCTACTTTAATGTCACTATATTTACAGTGTAGGACTTAACTATCTAAAAATGGTTATTAATCTAAAAGTATAAAATGGAAGAAATATGCCCTAAAAACTCGACATAAACATTTATATTCAAAATAAAATGTCAAGACTAGCTTTGTCAAAGCATAAAAAGTATTAGTTTCGTACTCTGATATTTTTGGGATTATGCAAAACAAATATGCAAATGCTCTAATACTATTTCTTTGCCCCAGTTATAAACAAAGCGAAGTATTCATATGCACTTATAAATACAAATATACCGATCACATTTTAAGATATAAGTCAAACCACCTATATTAATAAAAATGCGTTTAAATTTTTTTTGAAAAGTCAATGTCAAATACTTAAAATACTTATAAAATAAAATAATATAATTATTTAAATTATTTATAGGAATAAATGAGAATATTTAATGTTTACATCTAAACAGCTAAATTACAATTAATGTGTACTGTACTTACATTTTTATTGTCATCGGGTGGATCTAATTTATTATTGTTTTCTTCTAATGAATCTTCTACCTCCAATTGAGTAGTTTCTGGTTTATCAACATTTTTTCCTTTTTCTTCAGTAGCACTCATATTTATAAGCAGTCTGATTCCTTTTTTCCACCCAAGTCAAATCTATGCTAATTAACTAATTTTAATCTCGAGTTCGTTCTTGTTATTATTAAATATATTTAATGTAAATTAATTCGAAATAGAAAATTTATGTATTTCATACATATATTTTATATTTTATACTAAATTCATAAACCATGTCCATATAAGCACTTTTTAACTGAAGCTTTTGGTATTAAGATGGTATTAAAATTTTAATTAAAACTTAAACCAATAATTTAAACAATAACAATAAAAAAAAGTAATCAAATGTTGTTTTTATTTTACATCGAAATGTGTATTATTTAAAAATAAAATAATAATATTAATTGAGTCACATTAACTCGAATCAAAATATTTGACGCAAATAAATTTATAAGGATTTATAAAAGTTAATTCGTATGTATAACTTAAAATGATATTAGATAAATATTCAAATAAGTTAATAAGTTCAAATCGTCGTAACTTGGTTGGCAGTATGGACATAATAAAAAATAAGCATACAGAGTGAACATTTCTTGGATTTGTATACAACAGTATATTTTTTTTCAACTTCTGATTATTGATTTTGTCAGTAATGTCCACGAATCATCTCATGATGAGATAAATGGTGATGTTTTTATTTTGCATGTTTTTGCATATTTTGGGTAAAATGCATATTATTGCATATATTGAATAAAATGAATATTATTACATATTTCGATTATAAGAATGCGAAAAATGAATGTTTTATAGTATATTTCGTAATTAATATTTATAATTTAGCATAAATATTTCGTATTTAATTCTAAACCTACTGATTAAAATATAAAACATGGTTTTTTTTGTCAAGCATAAATTTTATTTTAAATTATTTTATTTTATTTCTCAATTATATTATATTATGATAAATAGCCAACCACTGATATATTTCAATAAATAAATATTTTTTTTGTAACAATATTTTCTTATACAAATTTAAATGCATATTTTACAATTTTTTATTGCATACAAATCCTAGTCCTGCTCATAACCT